ACGGAGAGACCACGGGAGGGTTTGAAAAAGAAAAACTTGTGCCAAATATATAAATCTGCAGATTAAGAGTGGTGACTGGGCATTTGAGACTAACTGTATTGCTGCAAAGCCATGGAGAACTGCTTGATGCCTTTTTTTGTTGCAGAAACATGTTCACTTGGCTTGGTTCAGAAAGGACATATAAGTGATAAAAGCTTGAGATGTAATCATTTGTATTATATTGTAGCAAGAAAAATGGCTAACAGGCACAATAACATCTTTTTCACAGGCACAATTTTTGTAATCTCCACTATTTTGTCAAGAACTGAAGGAACAGACAGTTTTTCAAATTTTCACTATTTTGTCAAGAATTGAAAATCTAAAAAAAATGATATGCCTTTTCTATTCTATTCTATTCTATTCTATTCTATTCTATTCTGAGATATTATAATAATTATAATATACTATAAATATTTATACATACTGTATTGTTTTATTTAATTTTGTTTACCAAGGCTTGTATTAGTTATACCAAAATTCTGGTGGTGCTCAAAGTCAGTAACTCCAGTAAAATATAAATGGTAAATTCATTCTTGTAAATGTAAAAACTGCATTTATTTTAATGAGTTTGTTCTGGATTACTGACAGGCCATTATATTAGATTGAAAAAGAAGTAAGCTGCCATGAGATGGGTTTCCCTTCGTTGGAACTGAATAAAAGGAACTGTAAGAAGCTACAATTGAGGGAACGTCTTGATTGCTTTTTCTCTTGCTAAGGAAAAGTAGACTTGTCCTGCAGAGCGCTGGTGATGGAGAGAGCGCGAACATCTGGCTCAGTTCACTAACAGAGTTACCAGGAGCTGTAATCTGTCATCTTATGCAAAACAAACAGGGTTGAATTCACTAAACAGTTGCACCATTTTCATTTTCAGAGAAAGAGCTTATTCGTTTGATTTGCACAATAGAAAACACAATTTCTCTTTCCTTGAGAGGTTGAAATGGCCTGTGATGAAATGGGCCGAACAGCAGTTCGAAAAACAAAGACAACTTCTCATCTTGCTCGTGTCAGGATGCATCATGCTCGCTACATCATCAGACAGAATGATGACTGGGTTGTTGAAATTTCGCAAATGAAAAATATTGCTGATGAAAATACATCAAGCTTCTCAGATGCAATCTGAACAAACGGCTCACAGGGTGGTGACAGTATTTAGCTAGTGTTATTGCGGGAATAATTTCACCCAGCAGACATGAATTCTTCAAACAAGCCCAGACCAAGCCTGCCTTAAATGCTGTAGAACAACAACTGTTGCAGGATAAATAAATTAAACAGATGGAGATACTGGAAAAATGGTAAAATCTTAATAAGTTAGGAATAACCACAATCTCTTTGCACGTAACCTTTGAGTTTTGATGTCAACGTCAATAACCCATTGCTAGATTTTTCAAGCAGCCTTTAGCTAAATTAGCATCTACATCAATCCTTAATGGGGTTTCTAGCTTTAAAACTCAACACATTTCATGACCTGAATAACTTAATTCACAAACCATGAACTAATATAGATGTGATCTTATTTTTCATGTGCCAGTGCCTCTGCTCAACACTAACCTGACCTGAGGGTTTATATTGAGTCCAAGGCCCTTTTTCTCATTTAGTGTTGTCATAAAATTGTCAAGGTTCCCCAGCAGTGGGAGAACAGGTTGCAGTCTTTTATCCATCTGTTTCTGAGTACCGAGCTCAGCACATTAAGAGGTGAGATATGGGTAACAAGAGCATATCACAGTCTCCAGTGAACCATAGTTCAGGAACACAGAGCTTACCTGAACTCAACTCTTCTCTTCAAAAATAAAAAGTGTAATGGATGTATTTTTGATCAAATATTGGCTATCATCATAAGAGAATATGTCATCAGCATAAGATACTTTTCCCCCCCAAACATTTAAAAAAACCTTAATGTCTTCAAACTTTTGAATGGTCTGTAATGTTCAAAAATACAGTAAAAACAGTAATTTTCAGCAGCCATTGGTCTAGACATAATTGTCACATGATCCTTCAGAAATGTATTTATATGCTGATTTTGTGCTCAAGAAATATTTCAATTACAGTAGCATTACTTATTTTAAAATGCAAATAATTGTACTGGAACGTACCTCTATGTTTTCTTAATTTGTGAATTAATGTCAGGATGCTACAACTGATCTGATATAATAATGAAGAAAAAAATCCTAATAAAATAATTGAGTGAATATAATATTTTCTTATATAAATAGATTTTTTAAAAACATATTTTTCCATTTTTATTTAATTTTGGCACTATTATTTGTCATCGACCATGTTAACAGAGAACATACTGTAGCATTTTGTGTTATACAGGAGCTGATGTGATTTAAATAAAAGGCATTGTTGTAAGTTCTTTCTTCTTAATTACATTTTTTTATTATTTACTTGAACATTTAGATGACGATTCAAATCATTTCATTATTCTTCATTATATCTTTGCAATAGAAAATGACAACAAAAACTACAATGTTCTTCTCCCTGACCCTGATGGAGGAGCTCTATGCTCAGTGACTGTGGAGTGAAGTAGGGTTGGACTGAGACAGCAGAGCATAAAAAATACTTTCCCCAGGCTCAAGGGTAGGCAGAAAGAAAAGAAACGGAGAGGATGTGTAAGCCATGTCAGGCCTCTCTGCTCTGCAGGAGAGGAACGCTTCAGTCAGGGAACTAGAGCAGCGGGAAAAGTCACAGCGAGACATGTCTACAAGGCACTTACGACTGTCATGAGCACTTGATTAACATTGCATTTGATTGTAGCTGTTTGCTAATATTTACTTGAACATTTAGATGACGATTCAAATCATTTCATTATTCTTCATTATATCTTTGCAATAGAAAATGACAACAACAACTACAATGTTCTTCTCCCTGACCCTGATGGAGGAGCTCTATGCTCAGTGACTGTGGAGTGAAGTAGGGTTGGATTGAGACAGCAGAGCATAAAAAATACTTTCCCCAGGCTCAAGGGTAGGCAGAAAGAAAAGAAACGGAGAGGATGTGTAAGCCATGTCAGGCCTCTCTGCTCTGCAGGAGAGGAACGCTTCAGTCAGGGAACTAGAGCAGCGGGAAAAGTCACAGCGAGACATGTCTACAAGGCACTTACGACTGTCATGAGCACTTGATTAACATTGCATTTGATTGTAGCTGTTTGCTAACAAAGGTTCAGCAAAGTGGATTTGCATCATCAAAAGAAATGACATCAATATGACCCCTGGCAACAGAACTTGAAATAAACCTGGTGATTCTGATGGTAGAATTCGTCAGGCCTCTCTGCTCTGCAGGAGAGGAACGCTTCAGTCAGGGAACTAGAGCAGTGGGAAAAGTCACAGCGAGACATGTCTACAAGGCACTTACGACTGTCATGAGCACTTGATTAACATTGCATTTGATTGTAGCTGTTTGCTAACAAAGGTTCAGCAAAGTGGATTTGCATCATCAAAAGAAATGACATCAATATGACCCCTGGCAACAGAACTTGAAATAAACCTGGTGATTCTGATGGTAGAATTATTTATTTAGAGATACATAGAATATACTGTGCTGCAGGAATGAAGACAGATATGGGATTGTTATGGCCTTTCCCTATATTTAAATATTAATTTATGTGCATTTTCTTTTTCAACTTTTGGCTTGTGGACTACAAAGTGAATTTTATTTAACATAGCCTACTTTTTTTACATTCATACATGCATTGCAGAAGAAATGGTTATTTTTGTTGATTTTTACAGAAAGCCATGAACAGTTCTATCTCAAATAATTCACTGTGTCTGATAGCTTCTGTGGACTCAAATGATGATGTTGGAAATTGCATTTAACTGACTAAACCATGTCCTTTGTCATGCTACACAAAGAAATTATATTTTTGTATAGCTATGAGATGGTGGAAATGATGCAAAGTAAAAATGTTCCATTAAAAAGTGATATTTAATTAGATCTTTTTCATATATGCCATGTAAATAAAACTTTTAAAATATTTTTAATTATTCCTAACTTAGATCACCATTACATTCAAGATGTAAAAATTAAAATTTTAATTACAGATATTCATATTTTAAATGTTATAGACCAATTTGGAGTAGACGTCACAGTTACGTCACTTGCAGCTGTGCGCGCATTGTGGTGGCATAAAAACACTGGGAACAAGTGGAGGGAAACGGCTAAAATCCATGGAATAAGAGAAAAAATGTATTGTTGTGCCTTTGGATGCAGAATCGGAATGCAAATAATTTTTTATATAATACTGTCGTCAAAGACGCCATTTGAAGCTAAACAGACGTTTAAACGGACAAACTATGGATGAAACCTGCTATGATTACCCTACTTTTAAAGCATAAATTTGATTTAAACAACGGGTCTATATAATATTCATATAGGGGACATAATGTATTAGCCCTACAGTTGAAATACATGCATTAAATACTATTTAAACCTATAATATTTGACATAACATTTAACTATTTTATTTCACAATTCTGTTTTTCTTGCAAATTCAAGTTTATATCTCCTACCCACAAAAAACGTCATCACTGTTTGCAAACACTGAAATTGGTCAAACCAACAGCAGTGTCACGTCAAATGGCGCCATTTTTGGTCCCACTTTATATTAAGTGGCCTTAACTACTATGTACTTACATCAAAAATAAGTACAATGTACTTATTGTGTTCATATTGTATCGCAAAACACTTCTGCTGCTATGAGGTGGGATACAGGTAAGGTTAGGGACAGGTTTGGTGGTATGGGTAGGTTTAAGGGTGGGTTAAGGTGTAAGGGATGGGTCAACAGTGTAATTATAAATGTAATTACAGAAATTAATTACAGATGTAATTACATGCAGATATATTTTAAATATAAGTACAATGTAAAAACATGTATGTACTTGATAAGTGCATTGTACCAAATGATTAATTTAAATGTAAGTACATAGTAGTTAAGGCCACTTAATATAAAGTGGGACCCCATTTTTTATTGAACGCGTTGTGAATCTGCAACGGTAGATCGGTTTCACGGAAGAAAGAGGGAAATACTGTTTCTTGGACGGCATGGTGAGTTTCTCAACAGTCATATTTCTTTGAATTATGTTAAAACTGTCAAAATAATTAACACATCAGAACTTCGTAAAATAGCCTACATATTGGCAATATTTGGCACTAAATTAAAACGTTTTATGTTCGTTTAATAATATAATCTTATTGGTAATATTTTGAACTAAAATAAATATTGGTGTCAATGAATTTATTGATATTATATTGAGCTGAATTTACGTACTAATGATAAAAAATAGTACTCGAAGCTACATAGACATAGTCAGCCTCAGACAACAGCATTTAAAGCAATTATATGAACATCTTTGAATACCACCCCTATTTTAATTCTTTTAATTGAATTACACCCTTGGTTGTTAAACATCTCTTGGTATGCAGTAAGAATCCCAGCTAAACTTCAGTTAGGTTTACAAGATGCTGTGTGCTTGGTCTGTCACCTGCTTACCGCTGTGTGATGTAACCCTTTATCCTTTACTGAGGAGAATTTGTATTCCACGAGTCCTCTGAGGTGTTCTGTAGTTTTTATTGAGAGAGAGAGAAAAAATAGAAATCTCACAGGAGCTCATTATGTCAAACCTGATATCTTCATCTCTATCTCTGATGCCCCCTGAGGAAATGTTCCACATAGAGTCTCATGTATATTATCACTATGCTGGTTTGATCCTGTTACGCTGGGATATTATTTGAAGCACAGTTGACTCCATCAATATTACATCAGACAAAAAGATCACATACAAAGTCTATCCACATCAAAATGTACCTCTCACTGACAAATATTTGAATGTCACCCTTTTCCGAATTTCTGATTTTTCCTGCCCCACGTACATGTACTCTGTGAATTATAGGGTTTTATAAACAGATCTGACTGGCATCCAACTGGTTGTTTTTCCTGCTGCTGGTGGCAGGCATGTGGCACAGGTCCTTCAGAGGTTAGGGATCTAAAGAACAGATGAAATGAAACAATTCTCAGAGGAATTCCTGCTAACACCTGCTTTTTCATTCCTGTCCATGCACTGTGGTTAGTGAGAAACGATACTGCCTGACCAGGCTTGTACCATTGCACCAGACCCATTGTGCTCAGTCAGGGGTTCTCAACCTTTTTCAATCCACCAACCTTTGTCCAAAAATGAACGTTCTTGTCATCATTTACTCACCTTCATGTCATTCCAAACTATGACTTCTTTTTTTTTTTTGAAGAACGTTCGATTCAGTTTTGGTCACCATTGAGTTCCATTGTATTGTCAAAAAAAACAACACTGATTTATTTTTATTTTTTTTTAAATATCTTCTTTTATGTTCCACAGTAGAAGGAAGACCATATAAGTTTGAATCGACATTTTTCATGTCCACAATTTTCATTTTTGGGAAAACAATCCTTTTAATTCTTGCCAGGCTGCGACCAGTGTAAGAGAGTTTAACGTTGATGAAACAGTCACTTGTCCTATGGATGATTTTTTACATCCATTGAGGTTGTAAATCTATTTTTAAGCCTTGCGATAATGATTATTTTGTTTTCTGTGATATATGTGTATTCTACACTGATGCTGCAAATGTACTTGATTTGTCACTAAGATAATGTTATCCAGCTCTATCTGAATGACCGAGTTTAGGTTTTGTCTAAATTTTAAAAATGCCTTGGAAGCATTTTATAAGAATGTGTTGAAAATTCCAAACCAATCAGTAATGTTTTGCGCAACATCACCATTTATCAGCAAAAGTGTATTTGATTATGGCTGCATCATTTCCAGCTTGTTGAGTATTTTCATTTTGTTAAAAAAAGTTTTAATTAAGAAACATAAAAATAAATCTAAAAAAGTAACATTTAATGAAAAGTATAAATATTTCTAGCAGATATAAAAATGCATTGCTACAAATAAAAATAAATAATTTATTTGTGGTACGGCCAGTGAAAATCAGAACTTCTGGTTAAGCAAAATTGTTGAACACTGATAGATCTAAACATTGTCTATGAAAATTACGCTCTTTTAAATAATACAGCATAGAAATCTCCCCCAGCCCCATCAGCATCTTTGGCAAGCCCATGTTTGAGATATAATTTTATTTTCTATTCCACGCTCTATGATTTGGAACTGGCTGATGGAAATGAGAATGACTGAAAAACAAAATGCATTAGACTATTTGGGCTTGAGTGAATCATAAAGATTTAATAAAGCGTAACCAAGAGCTGCTGTTTTGTGTTTCTGGCTCAGGACAATTCTGGCATATTATATTTCAACATTAGCCTTAGTATCGCATGGAACCACCTTGGTAGTTCCATTGCCTTCACAGGCGTTCTCATTACACCGGACCACCTAGCTCTCAAGTGTCGGCAGATAATTGTTTAAGAGCTCTCTCCTTTACCTGACAGACCCATTAATGGTTCCATTTACAGTGAATGGGCCATTCAGCCCAGTCAGAGCTCATAGAATGAGCTAATGCCACACTCTATTCAACAAGTACAGCAACCCAGTTTAATCTCTGGTGCTGTTGGCCACCAAGTGGTTCCTCTCTTGCCCGAGGAAAAAGTCTTGGACACCTAGACCTGTCAGTTCAGCACTCACTTCAGCCCTTTTCTTCATGTTTCTTTTTTCAGAACGCTCAGGAGGGAGGTAAAGGTCGAGCAGAGGCTAATGACGCTTCAACACTGAATGTTCTTTGAGATCAGGCTCCTCGACTCGCAGCCTGGCAGCCTCTGATTATAACAGTGATGGCTGGACAAGCGAAGGAATTGCTGGAATTGTGCTTGTGGAGCAGAACAGAACGTTTGGAGATGTTTCCAGCATGTGATCAGTTAAAGAAGTTTCCCTCCTCGGAAGACCTTGAGTGTGTCGGTGGAGGACAGGTAGGGTGGTGGTGGCTGCTTGTGTTGGTAGAGCTACCGAGGAAGCTCTCAACTGACAGTTCTTGTTTGATATGAAGGGGCTCTTTTAAGTGTTTGAAGTTTGTTTCTGAAGTTGGTCAAGTTCACATATTTACTTTGCAATAAAGTAACTGAGGTTAACCCTTATCGACTGTTTCCTTTTGGAAAGTATAAAATGTTTGTCCCTGAAAAAAAAAAACTAGACACGAGAAAATATATATATTTGAAAAACGCTGCCAACAGCTAAGCGCTTATTATGTTTGAACTTGAAAGTCCTTTATAAAATGCTGTAAGGTCACTTCAGAAAGCATTAAATATTAATCAAAAACCATTCATAAATGTGTTAATTCAAATTCTGGTCAATTCTTTGTATGGTAAAAAAACCCTACCAACTCTTCCCTTAACTTTCCTATTTTCTTTTTCTTTTTTCCGTGATAAGATGACTTAATTCTCTGCAAACAGCCTTGCTCTTAGCTGCTCTCTCATTTAGTGGTATTTCTGATGAAATAAATAGAGTTAAATTGATTCCGTCAGCCGGTTATAATGTTTTATCACGGACAGTGTCAGCATAGCTGCAGGCAGTCTATTCCTTTCTGCATAAAATTGTTCTTCAATAAAAATTTTTTTTTTTGCAAGACATACTTAAAGCTAAGTGTTATTCATTATCAAATTCAAACACAGAAGAGCAGGTGCTGACCTGAGAATGCATGCAACACACACTCTACTGTACTATACTGTACTATACACACTATACTGTAAGATTTACTGTAAAAAAATTCTTTTTTAAAGAGGTGTCTTATGCTCACCAACACTGCATTTATTTGATCAAAAATACAGTTATATGGTGAAATATTATTACACTTTAAATAAATTTCCATTTTAATATATTGTAAAATGTCATTTTATTCCTTTGATTGTAAAGTTGAATGTCCAGTTTTCAGTGTCTTAGATATATCTTCTACGATTAATGGGGCTATGCAAACTAAACAAACCACGAGCCTATTTGAGTGTATTTGAGCCAGAATTTGAGTGTAGTTAGATTGGTCTAAGAAAATGATTGCTGTCTCAAGGACAAATCACAATGCTAATCATTTCATTCTGGTTATATAAGAATACAGTCTTTGTTGTGAAATATCAAAATAATGATTGAGGAATGATTCTCTCAACTTCTTTCAAATAGATATCTGTATGAAAAACGCAGCAGGCTGAGGCATGCAGGTCAAAAATGCATCACGCCATCCTTTATGTTCTTCATCCCATGTGAAGACAACACCCCTCCCCCCTCTTCTTCATCTTTTGATGAGAAAATAGCGTTCTTTTGTTTTCCTCTTGTATGTGGAACAGCAGTCCTGACAGGCTTCGTCTCTTCTGTATCTCTTATTAACTCAGCTGTGACTTTTTTTTTATGTACTATCCTACTTCAAAGCACTGCATAGTCAACACTCGGTAAGCGAGAGATGGGATCAATGGCGTCAGTCCACTACCTTGTTTATTACCATAAATGTCAGCCGGGCGCTTCATCCTCAGCTGTCCTCTAGCATTGGCTGACAAAAATGTCAAATGTATTTACAACAGTCATTACAATTAGATGATTCTTGGTGAAGAGTAGAACATATAGTAGATTTAGTAAGAAAATAACAGTATTTTTAACATGTAATTTCAATAAATACTTGCAGCCAAAAAGAACCGTGGCAACTTATGAACAACCCGGGTCCTTGACAGAGACTGAATATTGAGTGAGTGCTGAGATATATAATATTCATATTTTATGGGTTTTGAAAGGTCAGAGCACTTAAAGGTGCACTCAATAATTTTTGTCCTCATTAAAAAGTTTTACAGTTGAAGAAATGATTAGTACTTTTGAAAAATACCTTTAAAATGATACACATGACACTCACATGAGAGGAAGAATCAATACTGCTTTCAATAGCCTACCAATAGCCTTTTTTAAATAATTATTTTTGCCTTTAATTTGATAGGACAGGAAGCACAGTGGGAGAGAGAGAGGGGGACGGGATCGGGAAAAATCGCCACCACGAAGCCATTGGCGCTGACACAATAGCCTTTTTGAAAGCTGGTTTGTTTTACATGAAGTGAATTGATAATGATATGACTTTCTCTCATATACACAATTATTCACTGGTTTACGCTCAGTAAGATATTTGGTATGTTATACTTGCCAAGGCTAAATTTATTTGATCAAAGCTACATTGAAAAAAATGATTAATTGAATTTACAAAAAAAAATGTTAAGGTAAGTGGTTGCAATCAATTTATTTTAGCTACATTTAAATAAAATTTAGTTGACTAACTTTCAATATGTTTTTTCAAATGTAGCTAAAATAATTTTTTTGCAACCACTTACCTTAAAAAATTTAGTATAATTTTTTCAGTGTACAGTAACATAGTATAATATTGTGCAATATTACTGTAGTTTAAAGTAACTTTTCTGATTTAATATATTTTAAATTATAATTTAGTTATGTGATGCAAAGATGAATTTTAAGAAGCCAGTCACATGATCCTTCAGAAATCATTCCAATATGCTGATTTAAGTGATTTCTTATTATCAGTGTTAAAAACAGTTGCCTAAAGGGATAGTTCACCCAAAAATGAAAATTCTGTCATCAGTTACTCACCTTCATGTCGTTCCAAACCTGTAAGACCTTCATTCATCTTCGGAACACAAATTAAGATATTTTTGATGAAATCCGAGAGCTTTCTGACCCTGCATAGATAGCAACACAACTGACACATTCAAGGCCCAGAAAGGTAGTAAGGACATTGTTAAAATAGTCCATGTGACATTAGTGGTTCAACCGTAATTTTATGGAGCTACGAGAATACTTTCTGTGCACACAGAAAACAAAAATAACGACTTTTTTCAACAATTTATTTTCTTCTGTGTCAGTTTTCGATGCGCGTTCACAACAGTACCAGTATGCACTCATGCGTCGTGGTACTCTTGTGAATGCGCGTAGTTTCCCGATTTCATCACAAATGTCTGAATCTGTGTTCTGAAGATTAACGAAGGTCTTGCGTGTTTGGAATGACATGTGGGTGAGTAATTAATGACAGAATTTTCATTTTTGGGTGAACTATCCCTTTAATATTTTTGTGGAACCATGATGTTTTTTTTTTGGTGTCATTCTTTGACGAATAGACAGCTCAAAAGGACAGCATTTATTTAAAATAGAAATCTTTTTAACATTATAAATGTCTTTACTGTCACTTTTGATCAATTTAATGCATCCTTGCTGAATAAAAGTAGTAATTTCTTTCAAAAGAATATAACTGATAACATACTTTTAAACAGTAGTGCGAGTGTGTGATTTTTAAACATTTTTTCCAAACTGCTATTCATTTCTTTGTAGAACTTTTTAACTTGGGAAAAATTACCGAGCGCACCTTTAAAACCCATGCTAAGTAAATACTGAGTGCGAGCTAATATCCTTAATGTATTTGTCAGAACCCCTCAGCTGAAATAGCTGTCAAACCAGGCAGTTTAAGAACATTTCTGTGCTTTCGCATCTACTTGCCTCAAATTGGCTTCTGCTTTGCATAAGTGTTCCAGCTCAGCCCACTCTGCACATGCATAATGAGAAACTCTAAAATGCATGAATCGAATTTGTTGCTGCAGTTTTGCATGTGGCATTGGGTTGACAGCCATCCGCGTATGCTTGAGGCCGGTGGTTGTTAGAGTTTCCAGCATCGTCTTACCCAGTAATGCTGAGGGGAAGCTATTTTGCTAGTCTTCAGGGGTCTGTTTTAACAAGAGCAAAGGGACCTCTTTTTGGAGCGAGTTCTCTTATGGCTACTTTGTAAGGATGCCAGTTACTGAAAACTCTGACAGTCTGGATAAACTCAGCATGGAGTCAATATCACCAGGATTTTGTAGTCTGCCTGTTTTTGATTCTGTTTGAGTATTAAAACTTCAGAGTGCTAAACCAAATGTCACAAGAGGCAGACTCTCAATAGGCCGGTGAATTTCACAGTGATGGGGACATTCTGCTCGGACATTAAAATGCTGAAAGGAATATTTTTATGACATAAACGCACACAAACAAATGCTACACATTCAATCAGAACTGCCTGCTCCCCATCTGCCTACACACACACACACACACACACACACACACACTGTACATCCTCCTGCTGTATGACTTACTCTTCAATGTGAAGATAAGGGGAAACCTTGTTTACACACTGCTTTGCATCAGCAGCTTTCCTTAAACTTCAGCGAGTTGATGAACACAGTTAGATGAGAATATGGCGGCCCCGGTGCTCCAGAGCATAATTGCCCACAGCTGTGAGAGCTGTGTAAAGCAACGCTGTTGTCTGCACTGAGTGGCTCTTTTGAAATGCCGATTCTAAATTGCAGGCGAAATTAGGGATTCATTCACATTTTAATCAACATAAAGCGCTCATCAGTCACACTAAAACTTTGGGCCATCATTGCAGTTTCTTGGTAAGCTTGTATAGCAAATAAAACCAGCATGAACATTGAACATTGAAGAGGGTTTTAATGATAAATGTACCCACATATGTGCATAAATTCACTTTTGTCCTCTGAGTTTTCAGAAATAAATATTTTTGAAATATACTTGCAATTCACTTTATAAAAAAGTATCTTGACTACATCAAACAATATATGACTGTAAAAGTATTAGTAAACAAATACAGTACAAATACAAAAAAATCTGTTAACTTGATATACAGGAAACATTTTTTTTTTTGAAAGACAAAACATTTTTATTCTAAAATTAGACCATTTTATCAACAACAAAAATATTTTTTTATAAGTAAAAATGCATTTCTTAATAATTTACAGATAAAATTAATATTTAAGATGGCAACATGTACATACAACTTACATTTGTTTTAGAAAAGCAAAGGTTATTTTTGTTTTTATGCACATTGGAGTGTTTTATGTTAAGTTTTATAGAGTTTTGTTAATGTTTATTGGATCAGTGGATCACACAT